TTTATACACAGTATTGATCATAAAGGGCAAAGACCTGTTTTTGGACCTGTAATAAGTGTAAAATGAATATAGTAAAGTAAAATTTTTATTTTTCTTATATAGTTTAACAACTAAGACATGCTATGATAGAATAAGTTTATAAATGTCATTCAATTATGAAAACTTTTTCTAATCACTAATGCCCCCAAAAAATTGGAAATAAGGCAAGTTTTGGAAGTTTCATCTTTTCATCTGGAAACTTTGCCCTTGACCTAGACTTCGTGCTGGCTGAATATTCTAAAATTGCTGGAAAAAATAAAGTGAACCAAAAGAAACTGGTCAAAGTCACTCCCTCTCTACAACCACATGCCTTAGCAATTTGTCCTTACTGACTACCAGGAGCTAAACAGTTGGAGCTAATATCATGATAGACAATATGCGTCAGATTTTCTTCTCATGAAGTGTTTCAAACCCCACATTAGTCTTAAATGCACTAATGCTCTTTCATAGACTGAACTGGACGATAACAGGCTGTTATTCTGACACTTCAAAGCATTTGAACAAAGCAAATCAGACATTCCGTATCTTCTACTTGTCTGCAGTACATGATAAAACTTAAAGACGTATTTAATGAGAAATTGCCAATCCACACAAAGAGCGCAGGTGCAGGAGAAAATATTTTATACACCATGAAGTCCACATAGCACTAAAACCAGTAGGCAAAAAAAAATGTTAAAAAACGAAAAATGTTAAAAAACTGTTTGTAAGAATGAAAATTGATTACGCCATTGTTTTGCAATGGCAATTCTGCAAAAGCTTATAATCAAATGCAAAGCAAAGCCAATAAGTTTCAAATTGTACTTTTTAACCCACTTCACATCTCCCACTTCGTATTTTTTCGTAGCAAACATTTTACGCTTTACTGGCGAGAGTAATGTTGGCCGTTAAATTTCGGTATGCGCAAAGCAAACAGCGCGACACGCTTACATCAAACGTTACCATATTATTAAGTAACCATATATAATTAATTTGTGATCTTTTTTAGAATATCACTGTTTCCAGCTTCAGATAAAACCTCTAAACGTATAAAGGAGGCTTGATTCTGGCTTTTCCTTTTTTCAACGTTATAACGAGGCTGAGTTTGGAGAATTTTTTAAAGAATGGAAAGAAAGTGTTTGGGTGGTGTAAATGCAATTATATAATTATTCAAAGTATGAAAGTATTTACATCAACCAAATGAAAGTTAAAGGTTTTTCACTTTGTTCGGAGGATTGATCACGTAATTATAAAAAATTGCTCAATGCTTGCATTACTTTACCATATTTCAGTTTTCACTCTCTGAAAGCAGTTCTCAGTTTAAAATAATACTATGTTACTCACAAAAAGTTTAATTGTAAAACAATAAATGTTTACGTACGTAGACTTTTTTGTTATGGAACTAAATTCAGACGTACCGAATCGTAAGATTCAATCGTGAGACCTCGATTTTTCTTGTTTTCTCATGTTCTCGTAACTTTTAGCAAAATTTTGTGAAAAACACAAATGTAAAGATAAAATGTGGTATTTTTTGTCGCTTTATTTACAGTGTTTGTATTCAAATTCTTCTCACCCGCAAAGCTGAATGCATATATTATAGAAAAGGTCTATAAATGGTCAAAAATTAAAAAATAGTTTATTTTACACCATGGGCAGATCTAGGATTTTTGAAACACAAGTCAAAAATGCCATCTAGAGAGAGAGGGGGATAATGCTCCCCCCAAAAATTTTGATTTCTAGGGTCTCGGAAATACAATTACAAGAATTTTGGAGCAAGTGCTAATCATATTTTGTAAGCATCTCTTGTGCGTAAAAATAACATTTTACAGCATTTCTGTTGTTAGCTGCAGCACATGCGCAATGCTACGCTGAATAAGTGTCCGTTTGTCAGTCTATATCCTCGGAGATAGTCGGCCATACGAATGACAACGAAGAGTGCCGGTTTGTGTGTTCGTTGTTTTCTCCGGAAATTATTACATGTTGTTTTGATAACTGAACTACAGCTCATTGTTTCTCATTATTATTCTGAGCGAAATTTTTCGATGAAGCAAGATCAAACTTTCTTTTAAATCAAACTAATTTGCAATGTCGTCATTCAAGTAATTGAACCTGAATTATTTTGTTCATGTTTGGAATCTTAATGACTGTATTTTTGCTTTGTGATCAAAAGTTTACGGCATTAACTTACATCTAGGATGACAATGAATATGAGCACATGATACATGTCATTGTGTAATGGTACATCCAAATACTTGCTTTTCGTGAAACGTTCATCCTAACTATTTGCAATCGACAAGTTCTTTGTAAACGACAAAAATTTGTGTCATCTTCATAACTTTATTAACAAGCTTAAGATCACAATCGAGCTTAAGATCTCAATACAACACCGGCTGGAAGTAAATTTTCTTTATTATTTCTGAAACTGCGCATGCAACTGTTTGAAAATTGGCCCATTGTGTCACGTCTTTTTTTGAATTCACGTCGTTGTCAAACTTTTTTATTTGTTTTGAGAAATTCCACCTACAAGCATCAAGTAAGTAATACACAAAACATAAAATCGCTATCTTCTGCAGTTGTTTTTGGCATGTTTACATGTTCATATAAGTTGTATTGAATTTTTTCAGGTCATTAAAAGGTACGAACAAAATTAACATGTTTTGGATAGAGGAAAAAGACGTTTTATTTTGCAGAGAGATTGTAGTTTCAAAGTTTTTTAATTAGAAAAAATCATCGTCTGAAAGAGAGAAATTCTGGAATGGTATTGCAGATAGATTGTGCTCAGCTAAAAGAACCAATCTTTAGGACGCAATAGAAGGCAAGAGACGAGCTAAATGCTAGTGGAATAAGTACTGAGCAAAAGAAATAGATAAATAAGTAATAGTGGAAAAAAGAATTTGCACAAAGAGCAGAGAGAGCAAACATTGAAGAAAACAACAGGAGATCGGAATTTGGAAGTATAAACAGCAACAACAGCAAATGCATGCAATTGAAGTAATGATGATGCAACAACAACAACAACAATATGAAGCACTTTTAGCATTATTGTATAAACTCTAGAAGTTAGCTTGTGCTTCTAGATCTTTTAGTTAAAAAATAGTATAGGCAACACACAATAGACAAGCTCCATATGAATTTCTTTTGTAATATGTTATAAACTCTCATGCAGATAAATTATGTGAAATATTTTGAAGTGAATATATTTTTAAAAAATGTGTACATAACAATAATTTATAAAATATGTTATATTTATGTAGTGCAATCGAAAAGTTTCTAAAAATTTGAGAACATCCATTCAATCTCTGCCAAAAAATTTTACTTACCATTGGGTGCAGTCAAACTCAGAACAAAGGCTGTTTTCACCCTAATCTGTATGCCTTCCATCAAATTGTGCTTAGATTTATATTAACCCAGATCTTATAACCTACTCGAAAATCAATAGTATTCACGGAATTATCAAGGTCTATCATATGTTGCAATCATATTCATGCACTTTATTGTGCAGCTAGCCTCTCTTATAATAAATCTTGCAAGTATCCTGACAGTATCTTATTTTACATGTTGCAACCTTTGGCTTAGCCATCGCCCAAAGTTGTCTTTACACTCTGTAACTTTTTCGTCATTAACATTATTGATTTCTTAAGAAATCGGTGGTAGTTACAGTGAGTGAGCAAAAAATATTTAAATTGTATATGCTCACTGGTCGCAACATGGTTTTTGACTAGGTCCATGCTCTTACATGCTATACAATTATTCAAGAGAAATATTATTGCAAAGTTGGAGGTTCTACTTGAAAAAATTTTGATGTTTCGCTATCATAAAGGCATGTTAATGCATTCCTTAAAATGGCAGCCACTAAATACATCTTGCAAACTTGGCAAAACCAATCTTCAAATTTTTCTTAAAATCGATGAATTTAAACTAATTGATAATAACTCCGAAAATCAATTCAACCGAGATACGTACAATGCTCATATTCTTGTTATAAGCAGTCATTTCTGGACTGAGTTGAACTTCTTTAAATGGAGCTTGCAGTTGCAGTTAGAGAGAGTATGCCAGATCTCCATAAAGGCACGTAAGCTCACCAGATTGAGAGGAAGCATGATTTTCAAGATTTTGCAATAAATTTGATTCTACGAGCATTTGTGAATGATGCTTTTTCCTCCTTCTTCCAAAAATATAATATTTGTATTTGTAAAATACCAAATTCTGAGCCAAACAAACAACACTGTTGTATGTATTAAATTAAAGATTCACTCACCCACTGGAACATATAAATCAGCAATCATGCCAATCGTGGGGACAACAGATTGGAACTTCAAACTGTGAACTCTTTTGTGCCCATAGTAAACCACTCTTTGTTTGTGTTTTGGGAAAAAAATTGGAAGAAGAGTCCAATCAACAAATAAAAAATAATTGGTGAAGCAGCGCCTTTAACAGCGATAGAATAAGCGTATTTTTGAAGATTTTTGTGACTTAGCAGTATGTATGATTCCATTCACTTATTAAATGGCCATGCTCATCGAAAATATAGTCAAGAACTGTGTTGCAAATTATGCAAAATCAGGGACAGAATCACCAAATGGATCATATCACTGTATCGACATGGACATATGTTAGCCTATTTAAGGCGACACATAAAGCCGTCATTCCATCGCTAATTAACCCTTGCTGGCATTTAAAAACTTTTAAAAAAGTGTATCCTCAAAACGTCATATAGGTATGTCTTTTCTAAGTGAAACTCAGCTTTTACTTCGGTCACATCCTTTTCATTCAAATTTGGGTAAACGATTTTCCAGAAACCGTTTGGGTAAACGGTTACAGGAAAATCGTATTTTTAGACTTGTTTTTACATCCCACAGTAATAAGAACTCGTCAGCTTTTATTACGTTGGCATGATATGCAACAACGAGCCGTTCCTTCGTTTTTCTATAGCTAGTCATCTCTTCACAAAATTTACATATGGCGTTGGTGATCAAGTTTCTTGCAGTTCTATAATAACTGGAGCGGCTATTTCAGTCACGGCTTTAGATATCTGATGACGCTAACAAAATGAAGGATTTGGTCCTCTGTCGCTGAGATCTAGCGAAAAATCAGTTAAAACACTGCTTTTCTGAAAATTCTACAACTTCCCACTCCCCCCTGATGAAAGAGTAAGGAAAATGTATTTGTGTATTTGAGATTCGGCAAGCAATTTTTTAATGAAAATCAAGGCAAAAACCTAAAATTCATTGCGGCAAGTCAAATGTGTTTGCTCTTACCGGCTTCTATGAGGTATGCATCATACAACTATCGACGACGGAACTATTTTTCGGTCAGATATTAAATTATGAATGAAGATGAGGCATTTCCCAATTATCTTAGTCAAGAGCCGATCAAACACTTTAGGGGGCGATTATATGAAGTAATTGCAGCTCGGGCTGACTTTCAGCCCGGGTGGCCGGCCTTATTGCGTATGCGATTATATGATAGAAATTCTAGCACGGGTTGAATTTCTGCTGTTTAAAGCGTATACTGTTCAGAAATACGTCAGTAAATGTCCCTGTGATAACAAAAACCCGACGCAAGTATGTTATTACTCCTGTTTAGTACTTGTTAGAATTGTTTATGTATTGCTCAGTTCACATATTACCGTAGTCTATTGGCTAGTTAAATGGTAGACGCAAAGCATATAAATTTGTTTTGCTTTCGATGTTGAAAATTAAAGAAAATTATTAAATTGGAATATCCAATAGGGATACAAGGTTGCTGTTTTCACATTGATATGTTTACATTTGAGGGATAAAAAAAGGGAACAAGATCAGATCATGGGATATACAAAGGGTGAAGTAATGTGAATAAGCGAGTTGTGAACGTTCCTAATTAAAACCAGGAAAGCTGTGCTTTTTCGTACATTCATACTAGCAACATTAAACAAGCCGTACAAGGAAAATTGGTTGATATGAACAGCTTCATATTACTTAGTTTGTGCATTTAGAGATTCTAAAATGAAACGTGGTTTGCTCGGAATAACGTCAAATAGGGGTGCCGTACATCGCAACTTGAACACTCACTATTCAAACAAATCTCAAACTATATGTCTTTATGTATATTGTGTACATTTTAGAAAAACAAAAGATTTAGATAACTCAAAAATAAAAGTTGAAAGGGATGTGGTGATTATCATAAAAACAATTAAAACAATAATAAATCCTTTCAAAACAAATGAAAAGGAAGAGCTTGTGCACCTTGCACTTAGCGTGGTTTTCGCGCCGATAGTTGCTGAAGATATGAGAACAATTGCTAGAGGAAAGGAACATACAACTGCAGAAAATTTATAACGTATAACATTTATGGCGAAGAGCCAAACATTTACACACGCATAAAGAAAAGAAAGTTGGAGAACTTTTCTAGTCTGAGCGAGAAAATGTTATAAGTAAAAACAAGAAAGGAGAGCTGGTGGATCTGAAGAATACGATGACATTTTTGCAAAGATGCTATTGATTGCAAAAAGCCCAAGTCTAGAAATAGAAGATCTTTTGAAGTATTCTCTGTGACCTTTTCCCTGTTCTTTGTCTACTAGTCCAAAGCAAAGCAAAACGTCCAAAGCAAAGCTTTTTCACGCGGTAAAAGAGGAAAAGGAAAATGAAGTCGAAAGCAATAAACTCGTCACTGAGAAGAAGGCTATGATTTTAGATATGATACCCATGTTTCAAACTTTGACACACATTCAAAGAACGTTTATGGAATTAGCACAACTCGTGCTTGAAAAGTCCCGTTAGGTTAGGTGGTACGTGACAGTGTTTTTTTCATGTGCGGCAGTTCTGAAACGAAAGGTGAATTTGTGTAGATTATATGTTTTTCGATAAAATTTATGCTTAAGATTTTTTCTGAGACCCTTCGTAAATCGCAGAAAACTCCCAAATCAGTAAAATTCGAATATTTTCGGTTAGAGAATGCCCCCAGGACCCCCGGCTTGGGCCTTCTGCCCTCGCAATGCATCGGTCAGCTCTGGAGCTTGATCGGCCCATGTATACGATAAAATAAATAAGATTTATAAATTTGGGAATAAAAAATGTTATGTGATGATTTGTGCTCACTGTTACCTAATCAAATATTCTACATGCCATTTTTGCACTTGTCTAACGCTCTGTTTCGACGAACATGCCCCATTCGAACTAATGTGCTGACTTTGACGATTTCGAAATTCTCTCCTTCATACGAACTATTCATCCACAAAAGGAGCTTGGAGATGAGGAGACCCTCATCTCCAAGCTTAAATCATCTCTTAATGTCCAAGACAGTTGCATTCGACCTCATTTAAGTCTATTCAACCTAACTTTATCTATCCCACTAAATCTCATCAATTCTTTTCAAACAATGTTTTTTATCCAGATTTACAAAGTACTTACTGCCAGTAAGCATTGGCAAGCACAAATTACATAATAACTTAGTGCGTTTTTGCTTGAAAATGTTTAAATTTCTGCAGATTCCTTTTTTGAGCGTTTGTATGATTGATTTTGTTAGCGTTAATAACTAGTTATTATGAGTAAAACATACGTGCTCGTGCAGAGTATTTCTCAGCATGGGAGTAATTACAATTTCATTCCATACGTTCTTTCGAGAAAGTTCTTACAAGAAAGAAAGTGAAAGCGCTCTCAAGTATAAACGTATGCTGAATAAAATAAAAAAAGTAAGATTTCAATCGTTTCGGTTTTGATAGTACACAAATTAAGAGCTTCGAGATGGGATGCAACAAAAGTAAAGTCGACAGCAGCTCCTGTGATGATGAAGTGACTTTCAAGCAATACAGAGGCGAAATGGACCACGGTTAACGACAAGGTAAAGTTTTTATGTATACGAAAGTGCATGGCGATATGTATGATGGCGACTTGAAAAATTAAACAAAGAAAAACAAAAACAAACAAACAAAAAACAAACAATATATATTGTTAGAACATTTTAAAACGTAAAAGGACATGAATCATACTCGAGAAAGTTGAATGAAATGTTATAAATATTCAAATATATTTTGCATAGCATTCATCTTTTTAACATTCAGTTTTGTCTTGTACGTCTTGCAATCCGAAAAAGTTGTTGAAAAAGAACGAAGACGACATAGGCAATTGAGAGAGTCAATTAGAAGAAAATATAATTTACCAATAAGGGAGAACAAAAAAAATTTACCAGGAAACTCAAAGTATGCAAAAAAAGACAAGCACTAACATACACGATAATAATAATTTTTTGCGTTTTGCAGTGTTATTATAAACAATATCATTATGAGTTAAGTAAGACAAGTTCATTTAATGTACTCTGAATTAGCAAATCGCACTGCTGACTCATCGTTTGATGCAATTTAGCTTTTCGGCAAAAAAGAAATGTAATTTGACATTATCATAGACGATGAATTGGATACTGTACCAATTTTTAAGCAACACAACCTCTGATGTATCTTATTAAGCAATTTCAAAAAATACGTAACATGCATCCTGTGCTCCAAACAGGTATACTTTGTCGTCCCAACTTCCCGAAACATTAATCCTATTAATTTTGAAAAATTTAGCAAGAAATTTTTTCTAATATTTTTCAGAAATATGGTGGTTACACTTCATCTTCTGAACTCCCCTTAATTGGATCAACTTGTCAGTTAAATCATTACCTCCCCCGTACACCGATCTGTATGTGCTCTACTTTCCATTTTAAAAAACTAATATTTTCTTTTTTAAAGATTTTCATACCAATGACCTAACTAAAATAAGTTAAGAATCATTTAAATTCATTATGATCGGTTTCATAACTTCTGTTGCTAACCATTTAACAGCATGAAACTGACGGACAGTTGTAATTTGTTGATAGTGCTTTACGACTCTCTAGATTGAAAACATCATCTTTTGAAGGAAAAATCTCGGTTGCAACTTCATTTGAAAAATCAATGGTGTTTCGTGTGCATGAATTACTTTGCAGGACTCATCTTGGCTTTTTATCTAAATTAAGGCTATTGTATTTTCAATACACACAATTGTGAATGCAAGTGGCCTTGGCTTGCAGACCTGTTACTATAAATCAATTAGAATTTTGTAGTAAAAGAAAACATGTCTCATGACTGGAAAGTATGGGAAAAGCAATAAATCACTTTAGTTTTTTTGTTAGTGCAACGGAATCAGACACAAAAAATTGAAAAAATGAAAACTTTCATCCTCTTAACATGCATTAAACCCAAAGGTTGCAAAATTTTGCAAGAGATTTGTTTTTCACAAGTAAGTGACATGATGAAACTCAAGATCATGATAGAAAAGTACGGTGAATATTACAATCCGAGAAAGAATGTTACCGTACTCTGCCATCAGTTCCTTGCCTATAGCCAAGTTAGGCGACTGTCATTCAACGAATTTGTCACAGAGGTAAAGAAACGAGACTGCAAACGCGAATTTGGAACTCTGACAAGTTCACTGGTCAGGATATAATTGTTTGAGGTGTTTCAAATCAACTTCTGCAAGAAAGACTTTAGCGTGACGCTGACTTAACACTTGAAAAGGCCTTGAAGCTGGCATTGCTGCAGGAGAAACCAAATGTCGCGAAAAAGACCTTGAAAAGCATCATCAATATGCAATTAATATAAACAACCAAAGATATAATTTCTAAAATGTCACGGCTCATTACTTCTCCAAGCATGGTGCAAATCAAAGTAGTTGAAGAAAGTGCGTATTTTGTAACCTGTGGAACTTCATTCGAATGTTTTACCTTCAAACGCCTCACATTTGATATTCACTCTGCGGGTGAAATTTTCCAGGCGGAAGTTGCCTCAGCTGATTTGCCAGGATGAGGATACTCACAAAATGACATTGTGGTGTGGAGAACAACTAAACAAGAGCACGATCTTCGCCTCACAGACGTATACTGAAATGCATTTGAGCTAGTAGTTTATGGCTCAACAAAAACAAGCGTATCTTTGGCTGCAAATCTCTTACATTTCTGGAACACACTCTTTCTGCTAATGGTGCTAACCATGCCCAAAAAACGTTGGAGATCAGCTGGAATTGGCATGTTGACAATTCCTCCGATTTTGAGGGATCGGGCTTTATTATCTTAGTACAATCGTTTCTTCATTCACGAATCAAATCCACTTCGCAAAATGCTCAAAAACTTTGATCTCCAACAACCTTAACTTAACGCCATCTAAGTACCCAAGCAGGCTTTACTAGGTGCAATTACTACAAAACGGATAAAGTACTTGAAACATGATTTACGTAATCATAAGGTCAATGATCGTGACTAAAACACCACACAATACGTACGAGTACATACGAGTACATACAAGTACATACGACTGACATACGAGGAAATTTTAGATGAAAAACCTCCACTTGAAAAGGTATTTTTTTATTCGCTCCCTCCTGATTTTTGAAAGCTGTTCAATACAAAATACAACCTGGAAAAACAACTACCGAAACCTAAATAATGAAGATATGCTCTAGCGTTTTATGTATTGCACTCACTAATACGAAGATAATCTACGGTAAAGAATTTTTGTTATGGTTAAATGACAAATTAACTCAAAAATAACACTAGACGGTATTTTAAAGTTGTTCTAGTGTTGCCCTTGACCTAATCTGCTTCATGCCTGCCAAACCTAAACTAGACAAGTCATCTGTAAACTCTCACGGAGTGACACGGACGACTTAACTGTTCGCAAACAGTTTAATGCAACTAACTTGATCGATTAAGTCGAGAAGGCACAAAAAAATTTTGGTTTAACCCTACAGCTACAACATGTAAACTTCTAGATATATCTTGACTAAGACTGTTGTCATTAAATTTTGAGTTGACTTTGCTGCTAGCCAATTGCCAGGTTACTGGCTGGTGTATGGTAGCAGAATGATATATCTTTCCACTGACTTTGACAACCAAAATCCGCCATGTTTTGACCACGGCCACGCGCTAATAATTCATAGTAATTTTGTTGACGGCTTCCTTCCAGGGCTTATAGAACTCAATGGGATCAACTAAAGCATAACGTAGGGGTAAAAACTTTCACCAAAAAATGCCATCACACTGCAATTATAATAAAACAAAATAATAAATATTGAAAACTTAAGTTATTGAACGTTTTCAACGTGATCATGCTCACCGGTCTCAAGAAACCATTGAAATGTTTCCTTTTCTTGCACTTCTTTGGCAGCCGTTTCAAACACACAAGTTTGGCAAACACACGTTTCCAGCAGATTTTATTGATGAAGTTTTAAAAAGATTTTGCGTTTGGAATGATATTTTTTGTACAGGAGTTTATTATATGGCAACTTCAGCGCAATACCACCGTTGTTGATACATTTAAACCGACGTTGCGCACAACAGACACCAAATTCAGCTGAAACATGCAAATGAATGTAGTATGCAAACAAAATACCTTTTCAGCATTTAAATCCATCAAATGGTCGCCCAAGATTCCAGACAAATACAAGCAAAAGTGAATGTAAATATCAATGTACTATTGAAGAAATTGTGCCACTTCTCATTTGTGACCAGTATATAGCAGTGAACTCAATATTAAAATAACTGGAATGATAACTGAAGCCAAAAAATATTTGTCGTCATTATTCGTCATCACTCGTGTTTCTCGCGTGTTCATAAATAATTTGTATTTTTTCGGATACTAGACTTTAATTTGACCTCAGTAGTCAATTTTATCTTCACGAAGAAAATCTTTTATTTATATTTATTTCAATTCTACGTTATTCTCATTGCAAAAGTATATTACTACGTTTTTCAACTAAATTAAAAGGATTTGTTGGTATGAATTTTTATTCAAAAATACTTATAGAATGAAAATATCTTATAGCTACTATATATTTTTTGTCATACACAGTCGATCTACTCTTAAGCTGCAGTTTTCCTTTAAAACATTTTAAAGTCTTTAAGGATATTCAATTATTGATATCGAGACGACAACCATTTAGTATTTCAAGCACTATCAAAATCCATGAAAACGACAAAAAATTTTTCGCTCTGTAAAAAGTAAAAATTTGAGTTATATTCAATACTTTTTATGAAACTGGACACTCAAGTTTCTTTTTCTTCGGAAACACAGAAATATACACACAATTCATTTTTCCCCAATATAGCTACTGTCCATAAACAGTGCCCTTTCATAATTTTTACCGTCGAGTTGTTATAAGGTCAAACCGCCTCAGGCAACTTATAAATAATACATATTTACAAAGCTTATATCAAGAGCTAGTGCATGACACTTTTTGATTTTGTTAAAAAGCTATTTTAAAAGAAATAAGTGAGAAAAACTAGGTATTCACGAAAATTTCATTCTTCGTTAGATGCATGACCTTAATTTTTCATTATTATTAAACATTATCAAATTTTTAAATACGTCATGCATTAGATTCAGTTACTATTACCACAAAAAATTTGAGCTTTCTACAAATATTGAAAAAGTAATCGTCTCACAAAGATTTTCTTCTAAGAGGAAATAAGGAAAAGGAGAAATTATCATTTAAAGTTTTATAATCATCTTACTGAGACTAGAAGGCACCAGCTTCATAAGTTTTTCCTTTATTCTGTTCACAACTATGTACAAAGTTCTTTCTCATATGCCTAAGTGTTTTTCTTTTTTTTTACCTTCTCTGTGCTCTTCTTTGAGGATAATTTGATACGATTTGTATCACATTGCAATGCACCATTTGTAGTAAACATGCCAGGAAGTATGTCTAAGTCGTTAAATAATTTGAGGAATAATATATCTCCTTCATTGAATTTAAGCACAGCCAAGTAGCTTGAAAGTGCTACAGTTTCCTGTTCCACATATGTGGACTTTGGGCATCTTTCCCATTTTAGCCCGTTCAGACACTCATTCACATTCTGTGTCAAACCATGTGTAAACTTTTCCAACAAGCTTTCATCACTTAGACTTTTATAAATGGGTTCAATGAGCTCAACAATACTTTTTGGTATACCATTCTTATGATGGTATGTTGTAGGGTCTTTCTTGTATCGACACCAACTGTCTTCAGTGTCGGGGCAAAGTTCATGTTGAGGGTTATCATCACTTGATGCCACATGATAAAGGGATGCCTTGATTGCTTTTGCCATTTCATCTATGTCATACAGGCGCTCTCTCACTGCCAATCCATAGTAATTTTGCAGAAGGTCAATTTTAGCATCAGTCAATCTGCCCTTTCCACTCACACCTTTATCACCCCCAGTTTCACTCCTTGTATGTCTTACAATATTACAATGAATGACTGAAGCAAAATTGACAAAAGTTTTATGTTTCATATAAAATATGAATATTTTACAGAAATTGAAGCATTTTACAGTGTTTTGACTATTAAGGTCTTCGGCTGTTGCTGCCCTTTTTGGTGTATGTTACCAATTACATCAGAAGTCCAAGAAGCACACATCAATATTTTTAACTTTTTGTTATTTCCTTCTCATAAAAATGTCTGGAATAAGTCAAAACTTAAGAGAGCTGCAATCATTGGACTCAGGTGACAATTTGTTAACAATTTGACGAAGCGATATTTGTCGTGTTATTCCTTTGATGCATCCAAGTTTACACCCAAAAACTCTGCAATGTCGTCCCATTTCCAAAAAAAGTAGCTAGAACTAGGATGAAAGGGATACAACGACGAAAAATGCGAAAAACCTCATTTTTGTAATAGAAATTATAGTCATTTTGCCCGCTTGAGCCCGCCATAAAACACACGTGTGTCATTCGAGGCTTGACCAATAAGTGCTGTTTAACGCGTGCGATCATTCGCAAAGTGCAAGGCCTTGGCTTTAAAAAATTAAACATTACTTTCAATCGGCACGTAAAACAACACAGCTATATTGAATATCTGTCGATCAAATTAAACGACATCTTATTATTTTCATATACTATGTCAAAAACGCTTTTGAAAGACATTCAATTTGTGATAATCGAGTATTTCTTACCAAAAATTGTTTTCAATCAAAATGACAATGAATTTGTAATCTAAATTCGTAAGAAAAAGTCTTACTTTAAATAGTGTGAACACGAGAGAAGAGAAGCGTGACTTGAATTCTACGCAAATGCGTTCGGCAAATGCAAAAAGGATTTGAAAGTCACTTGGTTGTTAGACTGAACAGGAGGAACATAAAGTACAATTTTAAAAGTTTGATGGTAAAAATATTAAAATTACAATTTTAACTCTACCATGATCAATCTAGCTCATTATGTTAACATATATACTTGAAAGAGTACTCACATGTACGCGTCGCGTACCTATTTTCGTGTTTATTGAAACAGTTCAGTTGTATAAAGAACTTATTCAATCCAAAAATATCGTCGATATTTGCCAAACACTATAGCTTACAAAATGATAGATGAAAGTAGTGGGGTATACAGGTTCTTATCGATCGGAAATTCTTTAGATGGTAAGTTAGAGAAATGCCCCATTGAATTGAAATGACTCGTATTCGAAAACAAACTGGTTTCCTTTTTAGCAGCTGCCGTGATTTGGTTGCTGTGTCCGCAACGCAAGAGGCGTTGATCATGCAGTTTATTATAGAAGCAAAGAAAAAGGTTTGGTCTTAGATTAGCGTTACTAAGGAAAACGAGTATTATTCATCAACTTCATTAATACAATCAAATCCAATTCCTTTAAGTTATTGTTCTATATCGAAATGTTAAACTATAGCTACATGTATGTGATCAATCGTCACTTACTGTAATTTTTCTCTGACGTGGTATCAGCAAAAACACTGCCTTTGAAGATTGATTAATTTTTTTCAAAAAATAGTACTTTAGGTAAATAAGTGTTTTGAGGGGTGAGTTATTTGTCAAAAATATCAGCAAAAATAAAAATAGGTCATTATATCATTAAATTCATCTTTTTAAAGAGTTCTTTAAAGCTATTTTATAAAGGAAAGAAATAATTTACTAGTTCTTATTTAGTTAAGAAAATGGTGCAACATACTCAATTAAGTACATACTTAGGAAGGGTTTAGATAAAATGAAGTACTATCGATGAATATTCAAATACGCTTAACCGTTTCATACTGCTGTTCACACTTGATATCCACTTGCAAAAGAATAAAAGACTTATGAGCCAGCAACGACTATGTACATATAAATTGCACGGGTGGAATAGGTTTGTGTGAAGAAATAGTACTTAAACTTTCGCAGGATACTGTTGAAATTACTGAAATTGAAATTCCAGTCAAAAACAATTCATCCAGAGTCGAAAGAACAGGTATGGATGAAGACATACAACTACTGTAGCCCCTTACTGTAGCCATGGTAAAGGCTAATTTCCATTTAGTGCAAATTGTCGCGCGATCGACTTTTTCTACTCACTTTCTTTTCAATTGTAAGCTCTCGACCGGAACAATTTAACACTGCTGCACACAATTCAAAACAAAGTGATCACAAAAAGTCGATAGCGCGACAATTTGTACTGAATGGAAATACGCCTTTACCATGAACAACCTTGCCAATGGTTTACTCAAGCTGTGAGTGTTAAATATTACACACACCTCTGCGGAAACAAGAGGGATGACCCTTAATCAACACAATGAATAACAACCAAAATTCAGAAAATATGAAAATGTTTTTAGAACACAAACATTGTTAGACTCCCCTCAACCACATGGTTGCCGAAAGAAAATTCATGGTTTGGGCAAAGCTATGTCCCTGTGCGTTTGAAACAGCATGAAATGTGAGCAATATGTCTTTTTACAAATCAGAAAGGATCCGTTTATACGTTGGAGGCTGGGGCAAAGTGTCAGCCCAGCCTCCTCCCTCGGAACTACCGAGAGAGGACTCTCTTTTTCTATTGTGCTAGGACTTTTGCTAATTTGGGAAAACGAGCATATTTTTTGCAATTTCGGTTGAAAGGCACTGCTAGCATAGTTTGCATATTGAAAAGAAATGTTTATTCGAGTCATGTAACGTTTTTGTTACCAAAAAAGTCGATTTTTTACTTTTTTGCGCATTTTTCACTGGCATAATTAAAAAAACTAGCATAAATTTGGAAAACCGGCATAATTGAAGCATAATTTATTCAAAAAACAAGCACTACTAGTAGCATATTATGCTACTTTTATTAGCACAATCAACAAAAGCCTACTCGGGAGGCAAGGCATCCATACTCAGATTATGCCCCATACTTCTTTCAAGCACAAACACACAGCACAGGATAAGTATTCAAAAATTTCCCTAAAGGCCCGTTTCCATTTAAGAACAATTTCCACAAAGAGTAAGACTTTCCAGGTGGCACATGCGTTAAGTAATGCAAGAGATGCGATCAAATTTTCCAGTGGAAAAAAATTGAATGTTTATGCAAGTAGAAATTTTTCAACTTTGTCTTTTTAGTCCGTTGGAAAATTAGCAGTCAAACAATCAGATCACAGATGTTAGAAACAATTACCATTAAGTAGTACAAAATCGTTTTAAAAATATTCATGGTCTACAAGTCTTATTTCCAGAATCAAAGTGGCAAATTCACCGTTAGTCGTTGTTTCAGCAAATAATCGTCACATTATGTTCTTGCATTTATTTTGTTTGACTGAACTTGTGTAATAGCGGTTTCTTATCAGTAAAAGAAGTAATATACGCCTTTAAAGGGC